TTATAATATTTATTTGGCGTTTGTTTTCTTTATGTCATTTAATTAATATGTTTCATAGTCATGTATAGATTATTATAGTTAAAATTGCAGAAAAACGTGTTTTTTTCTTCAAAATATGGCCCCAGCCTTCACACATGACTGTGAGGATGAGCTCTTCTGTGGTGCTTGGAATTCTAAATAATTGATTTAAAAGCCAATATTGATAAATTGATGCTTAAGAAGGTGTGATTGTTAAAATAACATTGTTTTATTTTAAAATCTAAATAAATTGTAACCCTGACATGTTTTTCAAGTGTAATATATCTGTAAGCGCTAGGGACACAAAAATGGATGTTTCTGTAGAATGACCCAGGTCAGTCTTGTAATTTAAATGGAAATGTGTAAACTGTGGACGTACATGGTTTAAGTAACTTGTGTATATGTTGCTTGAATAGATGACGCCGGCTATCTGGTAACTTTAACAGCTAACCTTCCCTAGCTAGCTGCTATTTCTGCTGTCTGTATCATAGTCACTCAAGCTACTTTCATGCTCTTTGCTGTAGTCACTATACAGTTTCATAATTGGTATCTAGGAGACAGCTGGCGAGTATTAGCTGGAACTTCACTAACTGAAGAAAATAAATCTATAAAATTAATGTTAGTCTTGCTTAGAACTATAACATGCATGATAGCTAGTTTTCTAGCTAGTTAGTGAAACATATAGGCTAAGTGGTAGCAGTATAGCAACTCTTTAAAAAGACAGTGAAGGAAATGGTTCCATATAGAACCATGAACACTCAAAAAACCCTTTGCATGATTAAAGAGTTCTTCGCGTGGGGAAATAGTTCTTCAGATTGCTGAAGAATGTGTTGTGTGTGGTTCTATATAGAACCCTTTTGAAAAGGGCTCTATATATAGCACCCAAAAGGGTTCTGCTGTTCTTACGATGTCGAGCTTGTAATAATAGAAGAACCGTTTTTGGTGCTATTTCTAGCTCAGGGGCCGTTTTCTTTAATTAATCTAGTTGAAGTTTGGAGTTAAGAGCTTCAGTCAATTGGAGGATTACTGGGGGGGAACTAGTGGGATTTTTCACCCTGTTCAAAAAAAAGCAACAGTAGCCGATGATAGTTTTTATAAACTGGGTGTATTTTGTTACTGATCGTCCACATGAGCACTGCAGGCTAAAGTGAGTTTTTACTGTCTTATTGTAGTCGACATGCAAAAAAAACCCACTGATACAAGCTTATCATAGCTGTCAGAACAAAACCTTGTATCTCCATTTTTGCTGTTTTTCATTTTTTGACATAATTTGAAAACACCAGCTGCCCTTGACCTCGTTTGAAAGCGTCATGATGAACAGGCCAATAGGAATGCTCCAAAATTACTACAAATAAAATCTTTTTTACATTAACTTTCATTGAAAGTTAAAGTTTTGAGGATTTGGCGACCTCTCTGGTGGAAACGTGTAATTGCATGCAGCGTGTATAAGAACATTTTGTAACGTGGGTTGTGCTTCTCTGAGTGGGTGAATCGGGTGATTAAAAGAGAATTCAATGAGAATTCGTTCAAAAGGATGTGTCATCCGGGGGTGTGAGTGAATTATCTAGTATTGCCCTCACATCTTTATCAGTAGATTTTGAGATTATTTGAGACCTAAACGTCAAGCCAGACCTTCTTTTTGAGCCTGTGTGAGTGACATTAATACGTGAAGATGTACGACGTGATCTGGAAAATTTGACCAGATCTTTAAATCTTTATTTCAGGTGACTCACAGCAGCGTATGCTTACCATACGTTGGCTAGTTTATATCCTCCTCACTCAGTAATGATGCTACTTTTTAAATTTTAACAACAAAATCTTACATAGTGCAGCTTTAAGAGCTTTTCCTAATCCTGAAAAGTTACAATTTTGGAGATATGAGGCTTTTGTCTGACAATGATAACATGGAATATGATTCTCCTAACTGGAGAAAAACATCACTCTTCTGATGTGTGTCCTCTGCTCTTTAGTTTGTTGCAGTAACACAAAATAAACTTAATTTCTCAGACGAAAGACAAACAAAAGTAAATCAAAAAGCTTTATTCTCAGTGCATCCATCTTACTTCTGAAACCACTTGAACACATATCATGTTCTCAGCACAACCTCTGAAGTGGTAAGTTGGAGCGTCCGAGGAGGACCTGGAGGCAGCTTTAACCCGGACTCTCCTGCGCTTTAGTGGAATCTTGGCACCAGTGGTTATTTTGCCCTGAGCTGGGACAGTGAAGGTGGATGAGGAGCTGTGCAAAAATTCAGCCTCTGAGTCAGCAAATGTCATGAAGACGTGCGAGACTGTAGGAGTCGGGGAGGTCGGACGCCCTAAATACCAAAAGGGTTCTTCTATTGCGTACACTCTTAAAAAAGATGGTTCTGCAAGGGCTCTTTAGTAAAGAAAATGGCTCTATACAGAACCATGAACACTCAAAAAACCCTTTGCAGAACCCATTTCAGATTGATGGAGAACGTGTTGTGTGTGGTTCTATATAGAAGGTTTTTGAATATGGTTCTATATAGCACCAAAAGGGTTCTTCTATTGCATACACACTTAAAAGATGGTTCTTCAAGGGTTCTTTAGTAAAGAAAATGGTTCTATATAGAACCATGAACACTCAAAGAACCCACTGCATGAGTAAAGAGTTCTCTGCATGGTGAAATCATTGTTCAGATTGATGAAGAATGTGTTGTGTTCTATATAGAACCTTTTTGAATATGGTTCTATACAGCACCAAAAAGAGCTCTTCTATTATAAGATGGTTCTTCAAGGGTTCTTTAGTAAAGACAATGGTTCTATGTGGAACCATGAACACTTAAAGAACCATTTGCATGCTTACAGAGGTTCTTTGCATGGTGAAATGGTTCTTCAGATTGATAAAGAATGTGTTGTGTGTGGTTCTATATAGAACGTTTTTGAATGTGGTTCTATATACCACCAAAAAGCGTTCTTCTCTCGTATACACGTTTTAAAAAGACGGTTCTGCAAGGGCTCTTTAGTAAAGAAAATGGTTCTATATAGAACTATGAACACTAAAAGAACCCTTTGCATGATTAAAGTGTTCTTCAGATTGAGGGCTATATATGGTTCTTTACACAATTATCCTCTAATCCTGCACACTTAAAAAAGATGGTTCTACAAGGTTTCTTTAGTAAAGAAAATGGTTCTATATAGAACCATGAACACTCCTTTGCAGGATTACAGGGGCCTTTGCATGGTGAAATGGTTCTTCAAAACAATGGAGAATGTGCCGTAGATGGTTCTATATAGAACCTTTTTGAAAAGTGTCCTTGACATCATAACAAAAGAAGAACGCTTTTTGGTGCTATATAGAACCCTTTTCAAAAAGGTTCTATATAGAACCATCTATAGCATGCTCTGAAGAACCCTTTCACAATGCAAAGAACCCTTTAATCATGCAAAGGGTTCTTTAAGTGTTCATGGTTCTATATAGAACCATTTCCTTCACTAAAGAACCCTTGAAGAACCATCACCTTTAAGAGTGTGAATGTAGGGGTAACATAGCTCTGAGTCAGCAAATGTTGTGAAGACGCGTGGGACTGTAGGGGAGGTTGGACGCCCTAAATACGCTCAGCGACTTCCACCTTCAGCTAATTACCTTCATCTATCTGTTTGATGTACGAGCACAGGAAACCCAGCGTGCATTTACTGTTGTCTGTGTGTGAAATCTGCAAAGCTGCAATACTCAGTAAACATATGCATATACTTTATGTACAGTCATATGTACAGGTTTGTGCTCACCAGTCAAATTATTTTGATATTTTGTTGATTTTCTAAGCAAAATTAAATAAACACACCCTTAACAGAGAACAGTTTAATGTACAATTACTTATTATTTGCTCAATTTAACATATTGGACACAAAAATACAAAAAAAATGTGGCCTGTGCAAAAGATACAGTACATTTTGGATTTGATTTTTTTCCAATATGTTAAACTAAATAAACAGAAATTGTGCACTGAAATTTGCATAACGCCAGTGTGTTCTATGTAGAGCATGTTTTAACTTATTTTCACAAAGAAAATCAACAAAATAAGTCATTGGGTGCCCAGACTTTGGTTTGTCCCACTGAACGAAATATGCAAAACGGCCAAATGAGCACATTAGATATATTCTCACTAGGACATGTCATGAACTTTACTGGTTATTACTAAACTTTGGGATATTTTTCTTGTTGTTTTGTATTTAAAAGAGTCAGTCTGTCCTCCATTTCACTGTCTCTGGTCTCTGACTGATGCATTCACAGCCATGCTGTACAACACATATGAACACAAAAACAAGCTTGACATTGTTTCACAGCTCAGTGCAATCAGAATCATAGTACTGTATGGTATGAGGGGCGTTTTGACCCTGAATATCAGTCTCGTAGGCCCAATCCCATTTCACCCCTCGCCCCTACCACTTAGCCCTATTCCTCCATTTCACTTGTTCATGTCTAGGGGTAGGGTGTCTCGATTCTTGTTGATATGGAGGGGTAGGGCGAAGTGTTAGGGCTACATGGTCCTCCAAACAGAGGTTTTTCAGAGACTCCAAACTTAGAGTTATGAGAAAAAAAATAAAACAGCAAAACGGCTGAACAAGAGACCAAAGAAACCCTCAAATGTCAGTATTTTCTCTGTTAAAAAATTACGATAACCACAGTATTATCTTAGCTTAATGTCTTTTCAGTGCATTATGGTCCTTTTCTTTATAACAAGCATAAAAATTAGCAAATAGTATGTCGATGTCTCAGTAGCTGGCTAGCTAACTTTCCCATTCCACCTTAAATAGTCCAGCAGTTCTGACGCCTGAAGCGCCAGAATGTAACTGCTGCTCCATTTAAGGTGGAACAGGAAAAGTTGAACGAGAATCTGTGAATATCTGACTTCAGCTTCATATCACTGAAGAATTAGCGGTAGGCGATAATAAATAATTATCACACCCCCTCTCTTTGAAAGCATATGATGCCCTGAATTTAACTACAGAGCAGCGCTAGTAGCTGTTAATGAAGTAATGTTCTTTCATATTTAAGGGTCCCATTTCATAGGGGAAGATTTCAACCACTACCCCTTGTAACTCAGTTCCAAGAGGCAAGGAGACCCTCGAAAACAAGGGGTAGGGGTAAAAATAAGAAATGGGATCGGGCCTTAATGTGTGCAAGAAATACTCAGCAACCTCACACACGGCCTTTATAAACACAAACACGGCATACAAATGATCCAAAGTGAAATAGTGGGTTCCCATTTTAAATTAATGACACATAAGCAGCTCACCAAGACGATTAAAGCATTAATGGACTCTTTACATTGTTTGCCTGCATTGCTGAAACACCAACATTCAATTAAGTCTTTATGACCTAACGCCACAAGCATGGTCATCTCTGCAGCTTGCTTTCACTGGTCCCGTCCATGGACGTTTTAAACGCTTGACTACCTTCAGAAAGCAAAATTCAGCATCGGTCTGCATGAACTGTAGGAGCTTCTCATTAATCCACTGGTGTGGAAGGCTTACTCCTCATTTATGGGTTATAAAAGAGGCAACGTAGGAGGTGCTGTGGAACAAAATGTCCAAAAGCTTTGTAGAACAGCATCTGGCTCAACCTAAAACACTAGCATGATGAGTCTCTTTCAGAAAGAGAGGTTCATGTGCCTTTTTCTGATGGTCTCCAGGCATAAATGAGAAGGACTTCACTATTAAGAAACACATGGGCTTGGAAACTATGTGTCCAGAAGTTTGTAGACACCTGCTCCTCTGATGTTTCTCCTGAAATGAAGGGTTTTAATAGTGAGTTTGTCCCTCTTTGCTGCAGTAACAGCCTCTACTCTTCTGGGAAGGCTTTTCACCAGATGTTGGAACATTGCTGTGAGGATTTGGTTGAGCATTAGTGAGGTCAGGTACTGATGTTGGATGGTCAGTTCTGGATCACTCCAACTCATCCCAAAGGTACTGGATGGAGCTCCATCACTCCACTGAACGCAGCTCAGTGTTGGCGGGCTTCATACCCCTTTAGCCCACGCTTGGGATTGGACGTGATGACCTTTGGATCATGTGAGGCTCCTCCAGAACGTCCCATTCTATTGGTCAGTGCTTTTCTATGGAGACACCTGAAATGGGTGCACCTTAAAGTAGATGATGAAGTCTTGCCGCCCACTTTGAAATATTTCCAAACACTTTTGGAAAGTTATAGCAGAGCATTGAAATACGGCTTGAACTCACATAGCTCACCTTATTTATGTCGTAAAACCGCAACTCATGCAAATTAAAAAATGAGTGCGATCATATGTCAGGAAACTGAAACTCCACGTCACGAGTGTTTCTCAGAAGTAGAGGTTTGTAGGCCTTTCTCGAATGGACATCCATTAAACACGCCCCTAGAACATTCTTCAAGTTCTTTAGAGGTTTTTTAGAAGTCTTTCAGACACCATTGTGCTCTCGCTCTTAACAACAGTGACTCTAGTGGTTCAAAAGTACATCGAAACATCTTTTGACCTCGTTCTCTCCCCCCAGACTTCATGTCTCTTTGCCAATCAAAATGTGCTGACTAAATTAGCCTTTCCAAAAAACAAACACACCAAATCCCCCTCCTAGCCATACTCAGGACTTCTTAATTCAGCATGTAGGAGTATGTGGGAGTCACTCCAAGGCTTAGCCCACAGTTTGGCTCAGCATTTAGAGAGAATATTCATATTTTTCTGCACGTCCTCCATCTGGACAGGCCACCCAGGAGGTCACAGGTCATATCATCTGTGCAGACTTGTTAAGATCGGTGATTTCTGTTGTAATTGCGTTATTCTGGCACTGCTCCAACGCCCTGCCTGAGCCTTTGGCCAGAGATGTCCTGTAGGATGTGCCCCTGTTGCTGGCCTTGCAGAACGCCCCCCAGACAAAGCGCAGCACCGACGGGCTCAGGATGATGAACACCCATGGGTCGATGATGGAGTTGACGGAAATGAAGCGCAGCGCGATTAGGTCGGTCTTGTGGCTCTTCTCACTTTCCTCTGCTGATGAGTTGATGTACACACGGATCTAAAGGGAGAAGAAGGAGAAAATAGAATTAGTCACAAAACAAACCTCTGAAAAAGAAGGAAAAACATCCTGGTACTTTCCTGCTCCCTGTCAAACAGCATTTCAAGAGATGAATTACTGCAGAAATGCAAATCAACAATCACAACTCTATGTTTATACAGCACAGCGATTTGAGTCGGCAGTGAAACAGAGAAATTTAAATGTTCTTATGGTAAACATAAAAAAGTGATTCCTAACTTAAAGCAAAAAAAAAAAGAATTTACAAATTTACCAAAATTCTCCACTCTGGCTGGACATGTTTGGTGTCAGAAGTTTGCTTCTTTAGTATTAGCACTGGGGCTATGGGGCTAATCTATCTAACCAGTAATGCAAGCTTATAAGACACCAGTTAGCATAATGCTAAAGTCATTACACACTTGCCTCAGACCATGCTGAGTTGTTCTCTAACAGATTTGCTTATGTGGTTTCTGACACTGTATGAAATATTGTTTGTCTACAGTATCATAAACCACACAAGCCAGTCTATTTGAGATTACTTAAAGGGCCAATATCAATATATCTTTCTTTGTTTGTTTTTGTAGTACACTATATGGACATCCCATTCTACATCCATAGGCATTAATATGGAGTCGGCCCTCCTTTGCAGCTCTAACAGCTTCCACTCTTCTGGGAAGCTTCTACAAGATTTTGGAGAGTGTCTGTGGGAATTTTTGCCCATTTATCCAGAAGAGCATTTGTGAGGTCAGACACTGATGTTGGGCAAGAGGGGCTGGCTCACAATCTCAGTTAGTTCATCCCAAAGGTGTTTGATGGAGTTGAGGTCAGGGCTCTGTGAGGGCCAGTCAAGTTCTTCCACACTGAACTCACCCAGTCATGACTTTATGGAGCTGCTTTGTGCTCTGGGGCTCAGTCATGCTGGAACAGAACAGGTTCTTCCCCAAACTGTTCCCACAAAGTTGGAATTGTACAATTATCCAAAATGTCTTGGTGCTGAAGCTTTAAGATTTCCCTTCACTGGAACTGAGGGTTCTAGACCAACCCCTGAAAAAGAGCCCCATATCATCAGCCCTCCTCCACCAAACTTTACAGCTGGCACAGTGCAGTCAGGCAGGTAACGTTCTCCTGGCATTCGCCAAACCCAGACTCGTCCAGCTCAAATTCAGTGAGCTCTTCAGAAAAACCCATTCTTTCACTAATGTGTGTAAAGGCAGGCTGCTTGGCTAGGTGCTTGATTTTATACACCTGTGGCAGTGAGACTGAATGAAACACCTGAATTCAAAGATTGAGGGGTGTGTCCCAATACCTTTGTCCAGCAGCACTGCTGTGTCTGATCCACTCGCACCAGCACAACACACACTAACACACCACCACCACATCAGTGTTACTGCAGTGCTGAGAATGATCCACCACCCAAATAGTACCTTCTCTGTGAGGGTCCATGGGGGTCCTGACCACTGAAGAACAGGGTAAAAGGGGGCTAACAAAGTATCAGAGAAACAGATGGACTACAGTCTGTAACTGTAGAACTACAAAGTGCACCTATATAGTAAGTGGAGCTGATAAAATGGACAGTGAGCGTAGAAACAAGGACATAAGGTCATAATGTTATGCCTGATCTGTGTAATCATATTGATAAAAGGTAAATAACAAGATTTGTCAAATGTGCAAATGCTAATAAATCAGACAGACTTTCTAGTTGAGCCAAAACGATTTGCTTTGGCTGACGATGGGTGACTTGTAGCCTGGGAAACCATTTTTTTTCTCCAGTAGCGCTGGTAGCTGGCCAGTAAAAGTTAACGTTCTCTGAGTGAAATGTGGCTTTGCCTGCCATAAAAAGCCACCAAAGCAATTTACCGTCTTTAATGTGTTGTTTTTATCTCCCACAGGACTGCAGATTCAAGAGAATGACTAAATCTGTGGAGCAAGAATTCATTATTAGAACATGGCATTAACATCAACTTTGACTGAAACAAGACTCCAGAAGTTGTACAAGATCACAGCATCTGCATCAATAATTGGTGTTTACTGCATTTTTCATTAAACTGCAAAATGTCTGTTGTTGAAACTATTCAATGGCAGTCATAGCTGTCAATCAAACAAACATCCAGACGCTCTGATGAAGTGATATTATTAAAAAACAACGCTAGTTTACTTAAAAGGCCATATTCTATATTTTTCTGGTTTTTATTCCATTTATTTGTGCTGTATTCATTTTTACACGACCGCTTTTTACCTCTTACAATCAAACATGCTGTTTTTGTTACAGCACCGTTAAGGCTAATATATATGGAAATGAGCTCTGCTCTGATTGGCTGCCCTGTGAAAGCACTCAGAGTTGAAACAATCCTTATACCTTCAATGAAAATGGACGGAGCAAAACTATTGAAGGTTGAACAGGTGGATATGTTTACATGTTTGATGTTTTTGACATCACAAAACCAGTTAATTCAAATTTGTGACATCGGTATGTTTTGAGGCTTTGGCAGTGTTTACATATCAGATGAAACATATTAAAACATAGCATGCAAAATTTGTTTTTCTGTGATATGTGCCCTTTAAACGCCTAATAGAAAACGTGCCTCATTTGATTTGCAGTAACTAAACTATTCACACAAATCCTCTGTATTATATGAGTGTCAACCTGCGTTGTGTAAAAGCCTCTCAAATGAGTCAAGGTAATTGTGTTTCCCAGACCTCTGCAGTAAACCTAATTGCGTTGATTTTACTGTGTCCTGGAAACCAGACGGTGTCGTCCCAAAGGAGACAACAGCTTTTATGAGTGAGTGAAGCTCAGCTTTTGGACGGCGGGAGTGCAAGTTCATACTAAAACTCTCTGGAAGGTTCTGCTGAAAGAGCAATCACACAGGTCATTGGGCCTCGTTCACCGACCATTCTTAAGAAGAAATTTCTCTTAAAACCCACTTTACAAAAGGCATTAAGGCAAAGGCGAAAGTCCAAAAACACAGTCTGAAACACAGGCAAATGTGCTCAGACAGAAACGCTCGGTAGCTCAAATGAAAGAAGCGATAGGCTCTTTTCACAAAATACTGAAGTGCAAAATCGCTGGTTAAAACAAGCTCTGCTGTTGCCTTACTGACAGTTACTAACTTCAGAAATACAGGCGTTCGTATCACTTCAGCCACCACAGAAAGGTGTGTCACTTTATCTTTGTCATAGTTGCCACGATTGAAATTCGAGGATGTGTCTAGAACTGTTGGAGAACCAAACACACAAGAAAGTGTGATTCTAAACTAAATTAATGATATAAATGATTTGTGGAAAAATTCCCTCCTATTAGAGCACAGTAACGTCGGCTAACGTCTACAGAGAGATAAATCAATGAGCAGGTGAAAATAACTATAACCAAAAAGCTATATTAGCCATGTTAGCTGGAGATGTTGAAACGGCTCGCTGGCCGTGCTGGGTCGTCAGGCTCCATAGCGCCACTGTAGACGTTTTATTTGCATTTATAATCACTCCAGCTGGTTTCCTGATATGTTTAATCTGCAACGAAAATCTGTCAAACACTAAAAATCACGAGGCTGAAGTCAGGTTCTCATTTGAATTTTCCTGTTCCACCTTAAATGGTGCAGCAGTACATTCTGGTGGCTCAGGCGCCATTTAAGGTGGAACCACCGGCACCAGTGAACGAACATCTACTCCCCGCTGAGCACTCGCTTTCTCAGTGCTGATCATTTTTACAGGAGAAAATGAAAACTGTTCCTCTGAAAGCGGCTGCAGCAGCAACTTTAAAGCACAAACTGCATTCAGTGTGACGTACTGACTCAGAGGTTCTTTGACTCCATATGACAAAGTCTATTCTGCACAAACTTGTTTTCCTCAGCTCATCATCAGCTGACAAACCACTGAAACAAAGATGAGGCTGTTTTTGCTTCAGGCTCTAATATCTGAGTGAGCTGTATACACTCAACTCACCATTGCTGCTATTGTAATTGCTTTAGCGGAAGCAGTGCTGCCCTGCCTCCACGAGTTCTTCCTGCAGAAACAATGTGGAAATGTGAATGACGCAATGACTGAACTCAAGCCATGTGACAAACAAGACAGGTGTGTTAGTATTAGAATTCAGGTGAAGGGGAACGAAGATTGGCTGTGGATGGTGGTGTGACAGTCTTGTGATCACCAAGGGAGCTCTGGGAATCAGAGTTCTCCAAGGAGTCGGTTCTGGAGGGATGCGTGACAGGAAGTCATGCCAGTGTTGTTTGTTTATTTGTGCCCAAATTTCTCCCGTGACTTTACATTTATTGGTGTAATACCACTAACCCAGTTAAGCCCTTAAATGCCTGGGAACTTCTGGACAGTTAAGAATGGAAGCCCTGACCATTCAGTGAATCCCATGCATTTTGCATTGGTTTTCATGTATTGAATTCAATTATGTGTGTATTTGTATAGTTTTTACATTGGCGCTCACAAACCAGATTTACAGGAGTCTGAGTCTAAGGGTTCTTTAGTAAAGGGCACGGTTATACTGTATATGCAACCATGGCAACTCAAAAAAACATTTGAATAGATAATTGTATTAATAAATGGTTCTCATCCATGACGGAGAACCTATAGTGTATGGTAATTTTTACTTCACCTTTTAAAATGTTTTTATATAGCACCCAAAAGAGTTCTACTGTTGTTATAAGTCATAGAACCTATTTGCTACTACATGGAGTCATCCAGGGGAGACAGATGCAAGGAGAGAATCCCTGAGAGTGTGAGGAAGAACCACTTGGAGGAACCAAGACTCAAAAGGAGAAACTTACTGCATGAGGAAGAACCACTGAGAAGACTCAAAAGCAGAATGCTCCAGGATAAACAGCAAAAACACTAATAATAATATTTTTAAGCAAAACGCTTTTTAGCCACAACTCTTAATCACCACCAGGCTTGTCCTGAGATCTCCCTCTGACTCTGATTGGTCCACATATCACATAGTTTCATAGTAGACACTGACTGGTTACTGGTGGAGTTTAATCTATTCAGTGTTATGAGAC